AAGCCGATGACGCCTAACAAGGCAGAAAAGGTCTTCTTACTGTCCCCTGTCTTTGCTGGTAATGTCCTTCTACATATGTCTGTATACCACAGAAAATAAACCAGGTAAGCAGTTTTAAACCCCCTAGGTCACCAGGAAAGCTCGAAAAGCATTAGTCGGCAGACCCTCACCGAACGGCACCCGAACGACCAGGCTAACTACCTACTTCAAAGTACAATTTGCAAAACAAAAAGAAATCTGTTTAAAAAATGCAAACTATATATTTTAAAATAATCTGAGCTAACGAGCTGTACTGTTATAATGAACCGTAGAGGTATTCATAGGGAGCAGACAGAACCACCTCCTTCTGCACCTTTTTTGGTACAAATTTATACATATGTGGACGGCGTTCAAAGTAGAGGTCCAGTTTCGTCATGATGAGACCTAACCAGGCATCGTCTACTGGTATCTGCCGAGTGAAGTACATGGCCAGAGCAATCTCCCGCAACACATCAACTCCAAAAACAAGGAAAATGCTGGGTGCGTAGGGCGCAAGGTGAGGCCAGGGCATTTCGCGTTTCGACAGTGCCCATTTGTCATACTTTTTGTTGAACGGATAGCGAAATAGTTTGCTCTGATTAAATGGTATGCCCCAGGTGACTCGTCGAATCTCCGTGTCTGAGAGGTTACGCAGTTCAGCCTTTAGAACGCTTGCGTTGAAGGCGTAGTCATCGTCGAGGACAATGAAGACAGGAGGTCGGACCTGCTGTTGGTCCTGCGTGAAGTACCCGCGACAGAAGCTGGAAGCCCATTGAAAGGTGTAGAATAGTTTAAGGCTGAGGTTGTAGTAGGTGTCCTCATAGTCACCCAGCAGAAGGTCACCATGGAGTTGGGCTTCTTCAGTCAACTGTCTGATAACTTCCGGCCTTTCGGATTGCATCACCTCCAGTGATTTGCCGGCTCTGTCCGGCAGCGAGATATTGAAGCCGTCGCGCTGGAAGAACCGACCTCCACTGATTCGAGGCAGTCCTACTGAGAAGACAACTGCTACACGGAGGCCGGCCTTACGAACAGCTTCCGGGGCATACGTCTGCCGAATACGTTCACGATCTGCAAAGTTGTAGACACCGGATTTGACCATGATAATAGCATCCAGAGGTTCTAAAGCCTCTTTTTCCGGCACGCAGACCGTCGAACTGACGTTGAGGAATCTGATTGTCTGATTGAAAATGGGGGCCTGATAAGAAATAGGGAAAACTATTCAGACCATTGTTTGGCATTGTCAGGTGCGTTAAAATAAAATTGGGTTTCAGTCACTTGTCAACGATGATAATGGAATGTGTGATATTTATCCAAAGTCTAGGATTGGACGATCATTTTGTCCGGAATAAATATATATGGAGAAAGATTCGGGGTCCAAGTATGTTATAAATCAACCGTTCTAGAGACTTGAAGCCGGCCTATCAGGCGCTTCGTATAAGGCTCGGAGGAATTTGGACAAAACCAGCAGGGCAAACGTGTACGCAGAACCGAGTCCCTACGTTCACGGAAAATAGGGGTGGCGGTCAAAGTTCACGTGACCAACATTAAGCATTGCCTCATCAATGCCCAGGCGGAGCGGAGAACAACTCAAGCGAACAGCAACGGCTAAGCAGTCCACTGGTTGATGTGGGGGGGGGGAGAGGCCAACAAACATATTGACCCGCCCACAACTACGTTGACCATGAAGGGGACAAAGGTCACGCATGCCCGCCACCGGCCACCCCCACCGCGAACTGACGTTGAGGAATCTGATTGTCTCATTAAATATTGGGGCCTGTCAAGAAGAAAGGAGACGACTCAGTCCAATTCTTGATACTGCAAGTAAGGGAGCTGTGCTTACTTTAAACTATGTTTCAGTGGTTTGACAGCAATGCTATGAGTTGTCAGTGTGCGTTCGTCGAGGATTGACAATATTTCCGAGCGAAACTAGCAAGAAAATGAGCGCGTTTCTCAATGATTGGAACGTTGAATTTCTGATCAACGAGTCGCGGGTTCTTGCCTCGGGTGGTGCACAGTCTGGGTTGGGTAAGAGTGGCTGATGATTGGTGATGAGCCACAGATGATCATTGAAGTTTCCCAAAATTAACCTGCCTACACTATGAATACGCTACCATTTTCTAACTTTATTATTCGCGACTTGTTTTCGAACCTCTTAAAGATACGGTTACGGCTCGTAAAATTGCACAAAATATCTCAGCACTCTTCAGCATCCTTTAGTTTAAAATGATGTGATTAAAGGAAGCATAGAAGTTTGCACACATCCGTTACATTTTAACAACTTTAAATGAAAAGCCCCCCCCGGATTTTGTAAAATCCGCCACTATATGTGTTCGTAATATCATGTCTGCTAAGATTATCCTGTTTCAAGGTTAAGGCCCCTTTGGTGCCTACAAGCGGTTGTTATATAAAATAGTCTCCCTAGCGCAATCAGCGGACAGAAACCGTTGCTTCAAGTATCCAATGACACAACGTAGAATTTTCAGCCGAAATTCTAAAATCTGTTTTTGATTCAAACAAATTACTTGGGTTGGTTTATCATGCTGCCTTATCTGGAGATGGTGCATCAGGTAAAGTTGCCAGCATTCAAACGAACTTCTTTCTGTCTGCCTGCAAAACGTATATCACGTAAATGGCTACTAAAATAGTGTGTGAACGCTTTCCATAAAAAAAAACACTCACGCTCCTCATAGTAATGCAATGCCAAAAAGGCATCCTGTTGAAGTAACCACCTTGTTTACTCATTTTAATTTTTGGAGTCCGACAGAAGCGCATTGAAACAGCGGTAATCTAACGTAATATAGTACCTCAAGATAAGGCAGTGGGATAGTTAATATTCAATTGACCCAATTGTGAAAATTTCCCGACCCTAGTGGGAGTCGAACTCACACACACCAGGGGAGGCTTTTGCGCAGCCGACGCTCTACCACAAATCAAAGAGGCTCATCGCGAGCCATGAAGTAAATCACACTTGGATCGAGTTTACCCGCCCAACTTACTACCCATATGGAATCCACCAGTACAGAACAGCAAGATGATTGTTCAGGCAGGAGTACCTAAGCAATCATCTAGAATCAACCGGAATGACTAGTAGGCTCACTTAGTTGTATGGGGGCTTTTGATATATTTGCTTACATCAGTTGACCCAATTGTGAAAAATGTGCGACCTCGGCGGGAGTCCTACCCACATAGCAGGGAAGGCTTTCGCGTGGCCAAAAGTAGCTTTTTTCGGATCAAAAGCAGATTTCAGAATTTATTTAAAAAAATCCCTTGAGATGAGAAATATACTTTATGTCTGAATCTGCACAACTGTATACAACTAAATATATACTTCTTCAGTACGACTATCGAAAATAAAATATTTTTGTTTATCAGATGCACAGACAAAGCTTGGACCTGGCCACAGCGGAGACAAAGCGCAACATCAACAAACAAAAATCCAGTGGAGGGAAAAGGCAGCGAAAAAGAAAAAAAATCAATCAGCCCACGGCTGACAATTACAGCCACATCTTCAAATTGCGAATCGATAATGCCAGCGAACCGAAAAACTCATTTCGCGATCTCTGATTCTTAGCCCGGAATTCGAACTTTTAGGAAGTGTTAAACTGATAAAACTGCAAACTAAACGATCTTCAAGTGTTTAACTTTGAAGAAGACTTTATTTTCCAGTACATATGTGTACGTTCTACCAAATATGTATGAAAACAAACTTCTGGGTGCATTTTTGAATATATAGCGGCATCAGAAATGAATGAGAAAGCATGCAGACCACCTCAGTAGCCATGTTTTACCCTATATAGTTATTGTAGGTAGCCAGGAAGAAGATCGCTGAAGCGCCGGCATCATGCTGGAACTGAAAAATATTGGAATGATGCCACACAGTAAGGAATATTATAGCTCCACGTAACAAGCTTTTGGTAATCATAGACACATTTCAGAATTTCAGTTAACATTTACTGAGACATTTCAGTCTCTGTCAGTTAAATAAATCCAGATCATTTAGTTTTAAGTAAAGCCGAAGTCAATACACACTTAACTGCCCGAGTTATGAAATTAAACTTAGATTTTTGCAGGATAGGTAATATTAAGAATTTTTGATAATAAATTTGCTCAGTTGTTTACATAAGCAGGCTATATGTGCATTGAAAATATGCTGTAAAGCACTTGAAGTGATATAATATGTCCTTTTAAAAAGATATAATGCAGAACAAGTAATATCATAATGATTCGTTGTAGTTTTACTCTCAATTGCAGTTGCACCATATTCATTAAGATTTTTTAATAGATAAATCTGGATTGTTTAGGGTGTGTGAAAATATTGCGCTGAGGGCTATTCATATAAAATCAAGATTAAAATTGGGCCTGCTAGCTAAGCATACATTTGGTCACGTTATTTTAATCTTGTGGGCATTTTAGTAATGAAATAGGCCTGTTTAGTTCAGCACATTTAAGGTAAATAGGCAGAATTCTGACGAAATAGGAAGTTGTCTGATATCAAACAAATTTCTTACGCTTTTTCGTATGACAGAACCAAGTCTTCTGTTTTTTATGCGTTAGGGCTATGGAAGAACACCAATATAAACTAATAAAGTTGAAAATATATCTCTTCTAGAATCGCAAAATGCTGTTTTAAATTAATGAATGTCAGGTGAAGGTAAGCCTAAAGGAAGCATATTCTATTTCGGTAACTAGGCACAATTTAAGTTGTAAAAAATACATTCTGCCTATTTATGACTTTTTTGTCAATAAACAGAGTAAACATATTTTCACCGCTGTTTGTTTTAGCGCATGGAAAACTTGGGGAGTAACCAACAATGCACATATATTTTATCACATAACTAAACATAAAATAAATCTGATTATATACAAGCGAGAAACCGGCTAGCGATTGATAATCAATGTTTCGCAAATTGCAGCATTTTGCATGTTTCCAAATGAAGATAGAGTTTAGATAAAAAGCAGTAACCAGATTCAGGAAACTTGGTTGCTTTCTGGGAAAACAGTGCTCCAAAATACAGTACATTTAAAACGAATTTGGTGTTTTAACCAATCACTTTGCCCACAGCCATCTTTAAAGGTACTCTAAGTGGCACATTGCAATACTTACCTCTGATACGGGTAGACGGTGAGTTATATTCGCCACCACCTGCTTCATATCCAGCGCCTGTGGGTAGAGCATGTAGACCGAATGAGGGAGTGGGAACACCCAGTTGTCATCCGCAACTTCTGCCATTCTCTCAAACGTGTAGGGTTGTGGTTCAGCGGGGAGGAGTTGGAAGATGGTACTGAGAACCCAATTCTCGGAACTTCTACTACTATTACTCTCGTCGCCATAGTCAGAGACCAGGGGGTGAAATGACACCTCAAAGCTGTTGGTTTCGTTGGAGAAAACTACGCATTGCCAAGGATCAGCGCATCGGCGTGCAATTATAAAGTTTTGGATTTGCACGCGAATGAAATTCCACCGTATCCTAGTAACCAGTAAACTGAAGAGGCCCACTATACACAGAATAAGAAATATCCGCCTAATCAAACGCATTCTCCTCCTGTGATCTATTCGTGTTAAAATTCTTGAGTCTTTTACTCTCTGTGTGTGTGACGCGGGAAGTGAATTTAAAAATGAGAGAGAACTGTCTATCTTGGCAGTTTTTCTTCACTGGATGGCTCGTAATCGTTGCACACACACGCATGCAGTAATTGGGTCATGTGGTTCTTTGGGGGGCGTTTAACTATGCGGCGTGACTGATGCACCAATCTCCATTTTCTTGGCTGTTGTGCGTGGGCTTCGACTACTGCTGAGTTGTTTCAGGCATAACTTTAGTGCAAATGGGGGTATGTGCTCGCAAAATCGATCAAACTTTTTTTTTGTAGAAGTCTCCCTCCTGCAGTCTATTTATGCGAACACTAGTTCGGAAATCGAGAGAGCCTGTAAGATGGTCAACAATGATATTTGAATTAAAGTTTCACTTGACGCTCACTAAAGGCCGATTTGTAACGAGAACGTTTCCTGAAGATAAATCAGGAAAGCCGCGCTTTACTATACATTTAAATCTTACAAACAACTATAAAATTTTATTTACTTACTTGCACTTGTTTTGGCTGTCACCATGCCTGATCTAGCCCACACAACTGATGTCACGGGTGGTATCTCTCTACGCGTGACGATTGGCAGCAGCAGATCTGGAAAGCTCCACCCATGCTCTTCTCCAGCGATGAATACCGAAATTTGAAGATCCAAGAACCGCTTCCACGTCTTAACGAACGGTGTTGAGCCGTGGCTTGAGTTACCTTCCCTTTAGACGCCTCCAGGTGAG